CTTTTTCCTTTTAATTTTTTTTTTCTTTTCATGATGACAGTGGTGAGGCCCTGCTTCCCCTGATTGCACGTCACTGGCTTGGATGCTTCCTTATAACAACAGCTACGCATAACTTTACACTGTAGCCACTGTAAAAGGAACTGTGTTGCAGAAACATGGTCAGACCCCAGAGGGCAGCTTATAAGACTTTACTAACATCTAGTGGTCATTTAGAGGGTGGCTCAGTGGCTAAGACACTCAACTTGTCAATCAGAAAGGTTGGAAGTTTGGCGGTTCGAATCCCTAGCACCGTGTAACGGAGTGAGCTCCCATTACTTGTCCCAACTTCTGCCAACCTAGCAGTTCAAAAGCATGTAAAATGCAGGTGGAAACATAGGAACCACCTTTGGTGGGAAGATAATAGCGTTCCGTGCACCTCACCATTTAATCATGCTGGCCACATGACCACAGAGATGTCTTCGGACAGTGCTGGCTCTTTGGCTTTGAAACGGAGATGAGCACTGCCCCCCAGAGTCGGGAACGACTAGCACACATGTGCAAGAGGAACTTTACTTTTACCTAGTGGGCATTTAGGTTTATGCAACCCATATCTAATTTATTCATAATTAGGTCTGATGCAAGGTAACATTTTACATCCTTATAGGGCAGAGGTCTCCAATCAGTTTTAGACCAGAAGGCACAGTTACTATTTTAAAAGCATGCCATGGATGGTGTGGCAAGTTGCAAGATGTCTCTTTATCACACAGAATTAAATTGTTCCTCTGATATTTTTTTTAACCCAGGTTCTCTCTAACACATTTACTTTTTTTGCTTTGGAGAAAATGAATACAGTCTAAATGAAACACTGAGATAGAGCCACCCACTCTTTTTATTATCCTAACAATTATTATCCCAGAGGGCCTTTGAAGATAGCTATGGTTGTCTTTAGGAGAAAAAAAAACCTAACACAGTCTATTAGGATCATTTTGATTAAAATGAAAACAATCTTCATATTCCTTAAAAACAGATTGGGGCAGGGAGCTTGGTAGATCCCAGGTGAGATATCTGTGGCCATATTGCATTGTGGTTTTCAGTCTTGGGCAAAGAAAATATGGCAGTTTACAAGAGGTCCCTTTGGAGTTGTGTACTGTATAAGGAGAAATGGATGAGTTCTTCATCCAATGAAGAAGCAGACTGTCCTGTTTATGGAATTGCCTCCTTCTACAGAATTATTGACCAACAGATTTCCCCATCTTCCTAGAGATCTTGAATTTGAATTTGTCAATGTCTTGATTATCTTGATAGAGGAACACAAGTAAATGCTTGTTCTGGAAAAGGAGGAAGAACCTGTGGGTGAAATATGGGAAGAGGACAGAAACTCTCAAGACACACTCATATGCATATTGCCCTTCTCAAGATTACAGTGATGTTTATTGTTACAGTGCTTTCAGGGATACAATGAGTGCTTATTTCTAGTAAGCTTAACTTATGTATAAAATTCTCTTCTCACTCCTATGGGTTGTACGTGTCTTCCTCAATATTGGGTTCTCTACCAGAGGCCTGAAAGTTGAAGTATCTTAGCTGTTCCTAGCATTGCCCTCTTTTGTATAGAGAGCTCTGATGTCGTTCCTGGGAACTGTTCGAGACACCCCTCCCCCAGCTTAGGAGTCACAGCCCTGAGTGCTTCTACCACCATTGGGACAACTTTGGCTTTTATTTTCCACGTTNCTTATTCTCCCTGTGATGCAACCGAGCGAAACAAAATAAGAAAAAGGTCACCTTGATCGAAGCCCTGTTGCTTGTAGTGGGCTAAGGCCAGTTCCTCAACGGAGCAGACCACCGCCAAGAGTTCTGCTCCCTCCGTTTGACTCTCCAGAATAAACACGGATTTGCCCATCCCGGTCTGTGGGCATAGTTTTCCCTTGATGGTCACCTGAGTCAAGGAAGAATCCTGGTTAAGGGATAATGCAAGCCCAGGGATGTCTTCTCCTCCCACACCAGGTTCTCCAGACGTTTCCTCAACCAGCATAACTCTGGAGTGGAAAGAGTGGGTAAAGCAAGCCCAGGGATGTCTTCTTCTCCCACCCAAAGTTCTCGAGACGTTTCCAAAACCAGCATAACTCTGGAGTGGAAAGAGTGGGTAAAGCAAGCCTAGGGATGTCGTCTTCTCCTACCCCAAGTTCTCCAGATGTTTCCTCAACCAGCATAACTCTGGAGTGGAAAGAGTGGGTAAAGGAAGCCCAGGGATGTCTTCTTCTCCCACCCCAGGTTCTCCAGACGTTTCCTCAACCATTATAACTCTGGAGTGGAAAGAGTGGGTAAAGCAAGCCTAGGGATGTCTTCTTCTCCCACCCAAAGTTCTCGAGACGTTTCCTCAACCATTATAACTCTGGAGTGGAAAGAGTGGGTAAAGCAAGCCTAGGGATGTCTTCTTCTCCCACACCAGGTTCTCGAGAAGTTTCCTCAACCAGCATAACCCTGGAGCGGAAAGAGTGGGTAAAGCAAACCCAGGGATGTCTTCTTCTCCCACCCAAAGTTCTCGAGAAGTTTCCTCAACCAGCATAACTCTGGAGTGGAAAGGGTGGGTTAGGCAGTGGTTGCAGGACGAAGTTTATCGACAAACATTTGGGCCATTCCTTGTAGAACTTGGGACCTCCAGCCTTTCCACTATCGTGGTTATAGCTCTTCTCTGGACCTACGCCATTAATTGAGATCTTTTAAACTGAGGCCTAGAAAACATCCCCATTTCTCTGAGGAGAAATTTCCTCAGGTAGGGAACCCAGCAGCTACAGATGGCCCTCAACTTATGACCAGTTGCTTAGCGAACCCAAGTTACAACGGGCCACTCCCAAAATACTCACAATCTGGTTTCAAAGTTATGAAGGCCACCCATGCCGTCACATGGCATTGTGGGTCCTTGGCAACCAGGTCAATTCTCCACGGGTAAAACCGACTCACTTAACAACAAGAGCATTTGCTTAATGACCATTGTCAAATAAAGACCCGGCCTGCTCACATGTGACCCCCCCCCCACTAACAACCACCATGCCTTAAGGCTGTAATTCGGTCGTAAGTCGAGTACTTACGTGGGTAACGTCATCCACAGAGAGGAGAGGCAGGTCGAGAAGAAGACGCTTGAACCTCTGGCAGGACGGGGCGTCCTTCATCCGTTGGACTCGCTGGGAGAGACTGAGCCGGTGGCCTGGGCGAAGGAAGGGATCCAGGAGGCCTTTCCGGATGGACGCAACAGCCTAGCAGCCAACCAGCGATTGCAGAGAGACGAAGAACAGAAAATAACCAAGATCCAGAGGCCATTTCCTCGGTTCCACCACAAATGCGCGCACAACAAAAGCGCGCCTGACTAAACCGCGGTGTCTAAACCGCAGTGACAAAACCGCGCAACGAATTAGCGACTAATTAGCCCTAAAGCGCGGCGACAAAAGCGTGCCGACAGAAGCGCGCTATAACGTAATCCTCAACCTAACCCTCAACCTAACCTTAAACCTAACCCTAACCCTAACTGTAAATCTTACCTTAAATGAAATCGCGCTTCGGTCGGCGCGCTGTTGTCGGCGCGCTTATGACGTTCGCGCTTTTAACCTTATATTGATATAGCAACTCAAACAAACATCAGCTTGCGTTCTAGCCCCAGGTAATCTAATTAAACTTTCGCTGCCCTTCCCTCTCCCACGCACCTCCCAACTCCGTTCGTCCCAAACCGCAACTCAAAAAGATCACAATTTCCGCTCTCCTCGCCTAAGAAAATAATTCATGCGCAATTTGAGTTAGAGTTCAGACAAAACTTATGTACAATATATGTCCACAATCAGCAACGCTTCTTTCAGTCTCCATGTCTCCTCATCG